CTTAGTGGGTGAGAGAGGAACGCGAGTGTGGAGGAGGATGACAGAAACGGCGGGGGGGGGGGGGAACAAAATTATTTTTCAAGTCAAGGAGGATGAGGTGGGCAGGTCATGTAGCACGAATTGGGGAGACAAGGAATACGTATAGGAGATTGGTGGGAAAGCCAGAAGGAAAGAGGCCACAGGAAGACCAAGGTGTAGGTGGGTGTACAATATTAGAATTGATCTTAGAGATACAGGATGAGATGGTATGGATTGGATAGATCTGGCTCAGGATAGGGACCAGTGGAGGGATCTTGTGAACATGGTAATGAACCTTCGGGTTCCATAAAATGCTGGGAAATTCTTGAGTAGCTGCAGAATTGGCAGATCCTCCAGAAAGGCTCAGCTCCACGGGTAAGTAAGTAAGTAAGTAAAATTATTTTTAATACATAAATGATCGGTTTTTTTCCTTTATACAGTCAAGTCTCTTTTTGTGCGGTTTATTTTTATGTGGGTTTAAAGTTATGCGATACGATATATATTTCAATTTTTTCTGGGGTTCACCTGTTCTGTGTGTATGTACCTGTGCTCAGGCCGTTCGTTCTTGAGCTCTGATAGCTATTGCTGGAGGAGGTGGGGAGAGCACTATTTTAATGGAATTTTGGAAGAGCTGCAACATCAGAAACATTATCGAAAATATAGGCGAAGCATGGCATGAATTAACGGCAAGCAATATGAGGGCAGTAGGGAAACATATCATACATGTGCAAATGATTTCATTGGTTTTGAAACTCATTTTGCTGATGTCACTAATAACATAGTGGAAACTGGATAGCAACTTGGTTTCAATGAGTTAGATTCCATCAACGTAAGTGAGTGCATCAAATTGAACACTAATGAACTATATAATGAAACACTTATTAATATAGATGAACAACCAGAGGACAACTTAGACAACAATGACTGTGTTGAAGTGCCTGCATGAGAATTAACAGCTGAACAACTATAAAAAAATTATTGGAATGATTGAAACCTTGTCAGAGCATATTATGAAAGTTGATCCCAATATTGAACGTAGCTTTACAATTTGCCAAACGATAAACAATGCAAATCGTTTCTACAAAGGAATGTATGAAGAGAAAAGGTCAAAGAAGAAAAATGTGCAAACCTCAATATTGCAATTTTTAGAGAATAAAAAATGAGTTACGAAAAACATTACTTTTTTAAAATTATTCCTAATAAAGACATCTGAATTTATTAATCGCGTTTTATTTATTGAAAAACAGATTTTTTTTTGAACCAATTATCGTTTTTTGTATGTATTTAGTTCCTCGATTAGTCTGGTTTCAAACAGCCCGGGATATTGGCGGAACTGATTACCCGGACTATGCGAGGTATTGCTGTACTATTACCAAGATGACTGAGGCAACAGGATCCTCTGATACACTGTCAACTTTCTAACAGCTAACACTGTGTCACCTTCCAGAAGACAGAAATATTCACCATGAAAACACTCTATAGTCACACAACTGCACTGCACATAAAATAAACATAAAAATAAACCTCCAGATTTTCCTGAATGGTTATTCTTGGGGGTGGACATGAACTGGAATTATTCTGCAACATTTCACTGAATACATCTAACCTGTGCTCTTCATTTTACATACCGCTGATATGCTTCTTGCCCTTGCGATGAATGGCAAGCATACTGAGTGTGTCGAAGATGGGTCGATGACTACATATCATGCATGTCAACCTGCGTAAAAAATATGTACTATTATCATGACAAGTTATCAAACGAATGTACCATGCACCAAAGCTTTCATCTAACGAACACCACATATGCCCTCTCAAGAGCAGTGACACACAATGCCACCATAATGAACAAGACCAACAGCTCCATAAGCAGCACAAAATAAAACCAAAAGTGAAGTACAATGAAAACAGACATACACAGTTACTACTAATGTCCAAGTTCCAAATGCGCAGATTTCCTCTCTAATGCAAAGTGGGACTGCAGAGAATATTTCTCTTCACTTCCATGTCCAGATCTCTCAGCCTCCACTCATGTGGAGGTAGTCATGCCACTGAAGCAAGGATGCCATTTATAACTGCCAATGAATAATGCAACCGACTGCAACTGCAGCAATTCAGCAGTGAGTGAGTAAGTCTGCGAGTGAGCCCAGTCACTTGGTGAGAGAAGCATGAGACAGTAAAATATGGTCATGAGTTCCATGGGACTTGGATTCAAGAATGGCTGTTCAAGAGAGCCCCCCCCCCTCCCATCAATCATCAAATCAATCCTAGGGGGGACATCCTCCTGTCTACAAGAACAGCAGCAGCACTTGCAGCATCTGTGATGTTCTAGCCAAGTTTCATTTGTGAACTGTTCAGTTAGAGGCATGTTGATTCTGTTGTCAAGTCCCCAGAACCTGGACAGATGGGGGGAGTGTCAGATTCTTCTGACTGGGCACTATGAAATTTTCTGGAGACCCTGAGATGACTGCACAGTAATCCTTGAACAGATGACTACGTGAATGGTAAAATAATTTAAATCAGAGGGGCACATTTGCAAATTGACTGACATATCCTAGCCATTATGTAAGTTCCTCAATTTATAATCTGATGTAATTTGAATCAATTCTGTTCATCTCTGACTCTTTTTAGAATCTGAAGTCTGAAACAATACAGCTTCAGGTTTGTGAATGTAGATAGTGCTCAGGTATGAAATACCAAAGGTCAAAAGGCAGTGAAACATGGTCAAACATAGGCCAGATTCTACAGTTTCCCCAAAGGTTAGTTATAACACACATCTATATCTAGCAAGACACTTATATCTCAAATGTAACCCAAGATGTCACGGCCCAATCTGTGTCCATCTACACCACTAATCTCACCTTCCATTCTTCAGTAACATAGCTTCATCATCTGGTATGTGATTGGAGAGCAGCTCACACACTCGATGATGCTATAAAAGAAATAAACAGTCATCAATTTTACATAACACTGCACTCACACTGCTATATGCAAAACAGATCATTACAAATGCAGTACTTAAGTGGCAGACTTCTGTAGTTTCATGGGATTTGAGGTTCTCATGCTGATGAATGTTCAGTTACTGTCTTCTGGAGGCTGTGCCACAGTTCAGGCAGTTTTCTCCAGGCTTCCCACCACAGTGGCCAGGGTCTAATCCCAGGTCAGGTTATGTGGGATTTCTGGTGGATAAAGACGCACCTGGGCAGATTTTCCCCAAGTACTTTTGTTTCCCCAGCAAATTCTCACTCCATCAACTGCTCCACACCCATCTGTCATCTAAGACTGGCACTACAGGCCCACTAGCAGCCAATGTACGAAGTGGACTCGATCTCATCTCGCCCCACAAAATTACAAAAATGTAATACTGTCGTCTGGGATGTGACACCATGCAGTCTGGTACAAAATTACAGACAATTTGGTGGAACCTGCCAACCCCATCATCAGTGTGGATGATGCAGGCAGCAGTACTACAAAATGGTGGTAATTTTCTACCACACTATATGGTGTCACATTCCACATGACAATGTCTTACTGTTGTTTCATGCATTTTAATGAGCCTCCTATCTGCTCATAATATTTTCTCCTTTCAGTTCTTCTAGATGTTCATGGTTAGCCTGACTGTTTAACTTTAAATGCCTTGTCTTATAACTAACTAGATTCAATTCCCCCCTCATTAACTGAATGTCTAAACCCCTGCTACAAGTCCTTCCTTGAGGAGTAGGTACTTATTTAGGTAACCAAGAAATTGCATGTCATTAAAGCGTACCTTCTCTACAAACAAGAGATTTCAACATTCTGTGACAGCATCTTTATTTTTTTTTATTCCTTTTGTATACCATGTATTAAAGGTATATATTTGAGAGCTGCCAACACAACTGATTATAAAACCTATATTAAAATGTTTGATATTTGGTTTATTTATGCCCACTGTATGTTTCGATCTGTAATTTGATGTAAAATCAACTGAATATCAAACATTTTAATATCAGTTTTACAATCAACTGCTGTGCTGACAGCTCTCAAATATACCTCTAATATTATGACATGGCTGAAGAAGACAGCCACTGCTTAGCAATAGCTTGATAAACACATTTTCACAGCAACAAACTAAACACAACAATAAAGAAATTCTTGGAAGCAGTGTTTTCTATGCTGTCCATGCTGAGGTTATATAACAAGGGTCAACAGTTACTGCTGTTAATCAAGTAAAATATCTGGGCATAATCTTCAATAAGAGGATTACGTGGAGACTTCACAGAGAAATGATTGAAGCCAAAGCCTTCAGAATATTTATTAGAATCTACTCCCTATTCAAAAGTGAGCGTTTAATCACAACTATTAAACTAACCCTCTATAAGGCACTGATCGGATCAGTAATGACTTACGCTTGTCCCCAGCAGACACCTACCTCCTAAAACTGCAGCGCATGCAAAATTTTCCAAGGTGCACACCGGTCCATGACTTGCACAGGGCTTTCAACCTTCCGTATGTATATAATTATATAACAAAATTGTGCAGACAACAAGCAGAAGTCATACAAAAACATGAGAATGAACATGTTCGCGGTATACGATAAGGTGAAGCCAGACACAGAAAATATAAGAGGCTTAAACTTGGCAGTGCTCAAGCTTATGACCATTCAAATTACTAAGTTTTCGTTGTAGCATAAGGTATGTCAGTTAGACATGATCTGCTCTGTAAAGCCTGTANTATGTATGTATGTGTAAGGGTGGGCCATAGCAATTTGGTCCTTGTACCGCGACCATCACTGATCTATTCCCCTCTGATTAACCTATCTTAATTGGTCTCTGTTTAGCTTCTACAGATCTTTGTNCATAAGAGACAAACAAATCTTCTCATCAGAGAGGATGTTACATAAGAACTATTACCGCAAGAGTTCAGATTGAAAGAAAATCTCTGGTCATGACCTCAAGGGGCTTGACATCAAGACGAACTGATTGGTGGTAAACCGCCAGTCATAACGTAACTTTCTCTCTCGCTCTCTCTCTCTGATGTGAGATGCAGGCAAGCTATTCAAGAAAGTTATTCTGAAAACAGTCCAAAGGCACAATGAAGAAACAGGCCTGCTTAATGCAAGCCAGTTTGGTTTCCATGCCCATCACCGAATGAAACTTCAACGCATCAGGGCTATGGACCATGGCACATTAAATCTGAACAATAACATGTCTATGGCTACATTATTCTTGGATACTGAAAAAGCCTTTGATACAACATGGCACCTTGGCTTGCTATATAAATTAACAAAATTAAAATTTTTGATCAGCCTAATCAAGCTTATTACCTCACTTCTTTCTCAGAGTAAACTGAGAGTCTCAGTTGAGGGTGAAATGTTTACGCCAAGGGATATACAAGCAGGGGTGTCACAAGGTTCTGTCCTGGCCCCCACATTGTACAGTATATACATATGATATGCCCCAAACACCTGTGGTCTATCTAGGTCCAAATTGCGGTAAGCACAGTGTAGTACATACCTAACATAACGCCCACACAAGGAAGCACGCATGAGATAATTAACAACCACAAGTATCACACAACTTTATAACAACAAACACATGTACCATAGCATCAGACACTACCATAGCGGCCATATACATTGACACTTACCCCTAGGAGCTATGACTGTTTACAATGTGGACACCTAACAACTTGGATCCGCATACTATACAATGACGTAGCCTAACGCTACACTAGGCACTGTAACTTCAAAACTTTAAAACCTGGCACACATAACAAAAGTTTTAGTTTTTTTTTTATTATTTTTAATAACTGTAATAATTTTAATACATCTTCAATACTGTCAATACCTTTAACACAAAGTCAACATACTTGTATAATATGTTTTTTCAATATATCCTAGGTATATTTTATATACTTAATTTTAATACTTATATTTAACTCAAGGCACAATTCAGTATCATAGAGTATGGCATTTTGCACCAAATATGGATCCATATCAGCAATTCAATGACCCTAAACATATTCTTGTATCACTGCCTGATGATGGCCCTATGAGGTCAAAACATGTAGCCAGAAACAAATATTCAACTGTAAAATATTTCTTGATAAAAATTACTTTGTTGTGGTGATGGCTAACCTACCTTTTTTTTTATTGCTAGTCGGGTGGGACTAAGTCCCTTGTACTGCGGCCACTTCTGGCCTATTGTACCAGTCCCAGGTGATAGGTTATGGTGATTTTAGAACAATTGGTGGAATGAAGATTGGCAGGGGAAACCGAAGTACTTGGAGAAAACCTGCCCCAGGGCCACTTTTTCCATCACAAATCCCACTTGACCAGAACCGGGATCGAACCCGGGCTGCCGGGGTGGGAAGCCAGGATGGCTAACCTAACTATACATGGTATAAGCTTACAACTGTTCAAGTGACTAAGTTGCCATTGTAGCATAATGGGGAGGGTTTGCACGTGTGCACGTCTGTCTGTGTGTGTGAGGGTGGGCCATAGCAATTTGGTCCTTGTACCGCGACCATCACTGATCTATTCCCCTCTGATTAACCTATCTTAATTGGTCTCTGTTTAGCTTCTACAGATCTTTGTTCTTCTGACAGAGGGCCCTAGTATATTTCCCTTCACCTGTTTGAGTCCAATTATGGCTTCCCAGTGTTTTTTGTGATTTCTGTTCATCCAGTCCCTCACCACTTTCTTCGCAACTCCAATTGAGATGACGCAAGATGGTTCAGGTCCTGTGAGCTGATATTCAGATCCTAATCTTGCCAGCTGATCTGCCATTTCATTACCCAAAATAACCTAGGATTGCCATGGCAAAAGCTGCATTTAGCAAGAAGAAGAATCTTTTTACCAGCAAATTGGACTTAAATTTGAGAAAGAAACTAGTGAAATGCTACGTTTGGAGCATTGCTTTGTATGGGGCTGAAACTTGGACACTTAGGGCAGTAGATCAGAAACACCTGGAAAGCTTCGAAATGTGGTGTTGGAGAAGGATGGAGAAGATCAGTTGGACTGATTATGTGAGACATGAAGTGCTATTTAGAGTCAGTGGGCAGAGGAATATCCTACACGAAATAAGAAAATGGAAGGCTAATTGGATTGGTCATATCTTACGCGGTAACTGCCTTCTAAAGGAAGTTATTGAAGGAAAGATAGAGGGGCGGATAGAAGTAACCAGAAGACGAGGAAGAAGACGTAAGAAGATGCTGGATGACCTTGGGGACAGAAGAGGATATTTTCATTTGAAGGAGAAAGCTCTAGAGCGCATCAAGTGGAGGAACTGTTTTGGAAGAGACTGTGGACCTGTCGTCTTGACAGATTACAGATGAATGAATGAATAACCTCATGGCCTGGCACCCATATCACCTGAAGGCTGTTATGTTCGGCCAGTTGTGTGAAGGACTGGTGGCAGTCCCAGACCAGTTTTAAGGTGATCTGGTGATTGCCAAATGGTTTAATTGAAGCTTGACTATCTGATACAGATGCTCCTATTTCTATAGTTTATATCCGTGCTTTAATGGCATACAATTCTGCCTGGAAGCTGCCCAAGGCTAAAGCTAAGTTTCTGCCTTGATCCATGGCAACACCTCAGCTCCAGTGCCTTTTTTGTCTTGGAACCATCTGTATACCAGATTACCCCACCCTTTCTAGCATAATATAAGTAAGACAGACATGATCTGCTTTGCAAAGCCTGGACTGACAGATGACTTGCATATGCTGCACAAGGAAGAATTTTCAATAACATGCTATATGTGAGATAAGTACACTTGACAAAGTCCAAACTTGTTCATAAAAGACAAACTCTTCCTCTCATCAAAGATCATGTTACATAAGAATGACTTAAAGGGTTCAATTGCCCAAAGGAAAAAAACCCTGGTTGTGAGCCTCAAGGGGCTTGGTAACAATATGAACTGACTGGCAGTGACATGAGCGAAAGAGGACATTGTTGAAACCCGTTACCAGGCAATGACTAATGAAGACTTAGAAGAATTAGTGTGTGCTGCAGCGAGAAGTTGAAAGCATGAATTCATACGGGCTTTATAATTATGTGTTGTTAAAATTTATAAGTGTTAAATAAATCCTGGTTGAGGCACTATGCTACAAGCCAGAAGGTCGTGGGTTCAAGTCCCGATGAGGTCACTGGATTTTTTTCAATTGACCTAATCCTTCCAGCCACACTATGGTCCTAGGGTCGACTCAGCCTCTAACAGAAATGACTACCAGGAATTAATTAAATAATTTTTCTGGGGAGTAAAGTGCGGCCGGCGCGTAAGGCTGACAACCTTACCACCATCTGTGGTCGATTATATAGATAATGCGGCACCCTCAACGTCTCACAATCCTATGGGACTTCATGGCCTGTTACAGGGGTAGCTTTACTTACTTTTACTTTTTTAAATCCTGTGGGATTAACTGCATCAGACTGAAGACTGCATTGGTCATCTGTATTGCCATTGTGGGAACTGCCCACATTCAAGCAAGTATGAAAATGCAAGCTTCATTGCTTATCAACGACGAGTAAACAGCGGTTGCTAGGCAACCCACACCATACTACAAAAATGGAACACATGATGGAGTTTCATAACTTGTACTCTTCTCCAAGTACAATTAGAATGATCAAGTGGAGGATGAGGTGGGCAGGGCATGTAGCATGAATGGGGGAGACGAGGAATGCATGTAGGATATTGGTGGGAAAGCTAGAAGGAAAGAGACCATCGGGAAGACCGAGGCATAGGTGGGTGGACAATATTAAAATGGTTCTTAGAGAGATAGGATGGGATGGAATGTATTGGAGTGATCTGGCTCAGGATAGGGACCAGTACAGGGCTCTTGTGAACATGGCAATGAACTTTCAGGTTCCATAAAATGCTGGGAAATTCTTGAGTAGCTGCAGAATTGGTGGCTACCCCAGAAGGGCTCAGCTCCATGAGTAAGTAAGTAAGTTAAATAAATCCAAGTAACAATTCAAATCTCATATCTAGTCACTAACATGTGACAATTGGTGTCAGATGTGGGATTAATTGCATTAGACTGGAGACTGCATTGATCAGCTGTATTGCCATACTACAAAAATGGAACAAATGATGGAGCACCTGCTGGCCAAGATGGATTCCAACCAAGAACAAATGAAGGCCCTTTGAGAAAAGACAAACAATCATGAGAGAAAAGCTGAGACAGAGGCTAACAAACTAGTATGGGATGGAACAATGGAGGTCTATCAAACAGAAATGGAAACCAGATAGGTTCTCTCCACTCCTGGATGTATTTCAACCAAGCCAAGACACAGACCAAACAGGAAAAGATGGAGGAGCAATAAAGTCTGGTCAAGAAGAGAAAGCAGTGATCAGAAGTGGCCAAGAAATGAAGGAGGTGATAAACTCCATCTGGCCTGAGCTAGATGAGACCATCAAGCATCAGGTGGATGTCCTGGCATCAGTCAACCAATGAAGACAGAACTTCAGCAAGGAATTTAATGAGAAGATTGACAAAACCCATGTGAATTACTGGTAGTAAGAAGGTCCTTTGAAATGTAGATGAGGAACCTCCTACTAAAAATAGATGACACAAAGAAGGACCTCCATGAAGAGTTTCGATCCAATACAAAAACCACATGGAGCAAGTTCGAAATATTGCTCAAAGAAGTTGAACCCCTAACAGCACATGGAGTTGGTGGCAGTACACAAACTGGCACCAGTAGAGTAGACATACCAAAGTTCAATGTGTCAACATTCTATCTATTCTGTGTTCTATCGCCAGTTTGAGGCTGTGGGAGAGCATTCTAAGTGTGCACCCTGCATGCCAGCTGCACTGCAAGTCCAGGCTTCCAATGACCTCCACGGAGTCCCTAAATTAGTGATGTACAAGACCATAGAGGCCCTTGAGGACAGCTTTGGGGACCAGCACTTGGACTCAGCATACTGCTGACAGCTGACAAGGAGTCAATGAGCTACTGAGTCCCTGCAAGAGTTTGCCATTATCATCATCACACAGTTTGCCCACCATGTCCATCTTGCACTACCCGAAGGCCACATATGGAGGGAAATAGGCAGGGCATTCGCCAATGGCATAGGAGCCCCAGACATAAAAATAAGCTGCTCCTGGGAGACAAGAAAACGGTCAAGGACCCCAGGCAGGCCCTCAAGCTGCTTGCCATGTTCCTAGTAGTCAGAACCTGGAAAACGTGTGCCGGGACATTCTGTGGGAGCTGGTCCCGCCCTACCGAGTGAAGAGACAACCGACAACCTGCATGTGAGCGCCCAAGCCACTTTATAGGAAGATGCTCCTATGAAACTGAAGATGAAGGATGTTGGAGAAGGCACAATGTAGGCAGCCAGAATGCAGCAGCAGCCCATATATACGGGGCTGGAGTGCCCATAGGATTATGTTCGCCAAGGATCGGGTACAGCAAGACAGAACAACCAGTCTGCTGGCAGTGTGAGGGGGCATCAGCAACATTAGAAGGAACTGCCAACTTCTCGGAAAAAGACCAACTGAGACTGGAGAAATAACTAAAAGAAATGTACAGAAAGACATGGATAGAGAGACAAAGGTTTCTTGCCCCCACGTTATACAAGCCACGTGTTGGATAATGACGACCATCATAGTCTGCAAGCCAAGAGACAGATGGGAGGGAAGGCATGTCTTGTGACCACTGACTATTGCCAGGTGGGACATAACAGCAGGCCTGCTCAAGACAGACCCAACAACAAAGTGGGGCCTGCAGATGGCATCAGAAGACCCTCCCCATCTTGAAGGAAGCCTCAGTGACAATGACTTCTGCAGCACCCACTAACAACTTGGGTATTTGTCACCAACATCACTGATGGGTTCATCCTGAGACTTGATGTTATGCACACCAAATATGTATCTGTGGATATGAGGTGCCACACACTATGACTGGGTGATGAGTAAGTGCCAATGCAATGTCCCATGGCACGACCAAGTTCAGCACCTCATATGAAGGGCAACAGCAACGCAGCAGCAGCTCAGTGTGATACAGCTATGGTGGTGTGACTGGAAGGATCCCTGGAAACCATGGACAGCCTTGCAGGGACAAGTTCCAGGGCCACCCTTAAAGCTGAAGCAAGAACGCCCATCCAACCCTCAAGGAAGGAGCCTGAAATGATAAGAAAAGTCCACCAGTTACAGAAGCACACCCAGGGAGGTGCACCATCAAGTGGACAATGGTACTTGAGACAAACAGGAAGGAGCAGCTGAAGGACAGCAGTGTGAGACCCAAACCACGAGGAAGACTGGATGTCCACAAAATTGGAAGTGTCGGCAACAGCAGGTTGAAATTCTATGCATAAGGATGATCACAGACATCACACTCATGTCTCCTCAGAGAAGAAATGGCAGTATGCCTGCTGGCTACTTGGGAGAAGAAGCCTTAAACAGGAAGCAATGTGACATGACTGAAGAAGACAACCATTGCTTGGTAAGAGCTCAATATACACACTTCTGCATCTATGGGTAAACTTGCAACAATAGAATAATTGTTGGAAGCGGTGTTTTCTGCAGTCCATGTCAAGGTTATATAACAAGGATGCCAAATGACTTGAGTCAGTTGTCAGTTGAGTTAGTTGCCCTCAGGGGGAGCTGCAAAACAGTTTCCAGCCAGCAAGGACATTAGTATGTGAGCTGAGAAATCAACATTGTTGGGAACCGTTACAAGGCAGTGACCAGTAAAGACAGAAAACTCTGTGTCCTGCAGTACAGTGATTTCTACAGCATACAGATCCGTGAAACTGTTATAGTTACCTGTAGCTACAAGTTATACATGTTCAGCCCAACTATCAATCCAAACCCCATGTTCTGGGACATGGGCACTGGATAGGTAGAGGGGGATCAATTGCTTGGCCACCACGCTCCCCTGACTTAAACCCCCTGGACTTTTACCTGTTGGGACACTTAAAGACTTGTCATGTAAACGACTGCTGTTGTTGATGTACCAACTCTCCATGCATGCATTGTGGCAGCCTGTCAGAGAGTATGCACTACACCGGGCATTTTTGATTGTGTGCGACACTCAATGCGATGACAAGCGGAGGCCTGTAATCATGCAGGAGGAGATCACTTTGAACATTTCCTCTGATATGTGACCAGAGTGTTCCAGCTGGCATTACAGATGTATTCAGCGTAAATGTTGGGAGTGTCGGATTGCACTAACCTTAATAAAAGGTCAGATAACTCTGTAATTATGCATTTCCCAAACCATGTGGTCATACACTTTTTTTCTTCTCTCTATATGAGGAGTCTGATCCTGAAGTTTTGCCGTTGAGTTTTGATACACCCTGTATACAACTTAAAGGGTAAATTACTTGTCAAATTTAAAATGTTTAGGTATTTATATCACAGATAACTTAAGCTGGCCCACTCATATACAATATCTCTGCCATAAATTAAACAAAGCTCTTTGTTTG